TCAAGAGGGGCAGGAGGAGCCCGCATGGGAGGAGTCGCTCTGAGGTGTGAGAAGAACAGGACAGTGGGCATCATGGAAGTCAAGAAGACTGTCCCAGGGAAGAGGGAGACCAGCGGTGTCAAGCGCTGCAGGTAAGGGCTGAGACCAGCCTTTTGGCCCAGCAGCACGGAGGCCGCTGGTGACCTTGAGAAGAGAAGAGCGGACTGTGGGATGCAGGGGTGAAAGCCCAGCTGGAGTGGAGTCAGTGTCAGGAAGGAGGTGGAGGCAGTGGTCGGGGCAGCACCTCTGGCAGGTTTTCCTGGAAAAGGGAACAGAGGTATGCAGAAATGCTAGCGGGAGAAGGCAAGAGGCGCTCTTACCACAGGACCATAGTAGGGAGGTGCTTGCTGGCTGGAGGGTCAGGGAGAAGGGAGGAAGCAATCTGTCAGAGAAGGGGGACAGACGATGCAGGGGCAACGGATGACTTGCTGGAACAATGTCCCCGTACCAGGGACAAGACTTAGTGCGCAAGTAAAGAAGTGGACTTCACTAGGAGCAGCACGCTTTGCTCACAGGGACAGGAGGAGGGTGGAGCCAGGTGCAGGAGCAGGTAGCACGGAGGCCTGCAGAGGTTCAGGTTGTTTTCTCAAAGCTTACAGCTGAAAGGGAGGATGGTAATGGGGAGGTTGGGCTGAGGGTGGAAGAGGAAGTGAGAACTCACCATTAGCACCAGGAGAGGGGGATGGGCCGTCTGAATTCCCAGGGTGGGCTTCACGTGGGACAGGCAGGGCAGGGCTTTTCCTTGCCCCATGCATTCAGTGGCACAGATGCAGTCTGGAGCTGGCCAGATGTTGGATTTAACCAGGCCAAGCAATCATGAAGAAACACAATAAAGGAGTTGGAGTGTGCAAGGGAAGAAGTTTCCTGACCTATCCAGGCAGCTGCCTCTGAGCTGACCCCAGGCCTGCTCAAGTCCCTCCACTGCTGGCAGCTAGAAGCCCCCACCAATTCCTGCTGTGGGTTATGTGGGGTCTTCCTCCACCCTCAACTCAAAAGGAGCTCCTGAGAGGGGCCACAGGTGGCCACCGACACCGGGGGCAATAGTGTCCCGCACACTCTTCCTCTGACCTAGAAGCTACCTCAGGCCTCAGGCACACAACAGTGCCTCCTCCTTCGCCCTTCCCAAGCCATTGGCAGCAGCTCCTCCTGCCCACTCTGCCTTCTGCTAGCCCAACACAGGCCCACCCATCTGTCTCCCTCACTGTCTCTCACTCCACTCCCTCCCGCCAGTGCCTCCTGACTGGCCTCTTCCACCACGATGATGGCCTGGCCAGGCCCCCTCTGCCTCCCCAGAACACTGACAGCTCACTCCCTCTGCAGAGCCCTTCAGTGGCTCCCTGTGCTCCCCCAGCTGTGGCCCACACTCCAGGGCCACTCTGTGCTGGCCCTTCTGTCTCAGTCCCCGTGCCCTCTCCTCTCACTGTTTTTCTGGGCCTCCTCTCCCCCACATCAACAGACACTACCTGGCTGTGACCCCCACTCTAGGCCCATAGGGTCCCCACTCTCTGACATCTGGTCCAAAGTGGATGTCCAGCAAGCTTTGCTAGTGCATGGATATGTCCCCCGGGCCCAGGTGAGCAGGTGGATGAAGCTTCTAGAGGTAAGGAAGCAGGGGAAACTGGACTGAAATAACAGGGCTCCTCAGCCCAGGAGCCTAACGTAATCCCATCTCTTACAGGACAGGCAACGTGACGCCTGAGGAGGGCATGATATTACCTACGGCATGTGCTTGCCCAAAAAAGTTTAACCTGAATCTGAGCAAATAAGAAGGCAAATCTAGAATACAGGATATTCCACAAGACTTAAAAATGGACAGTGTCAGGGCTGGGGATATAGCTCAGTGGCATACACGCCTGCCTGTTAAGTACAAGGTCCTGAGTTTGAGTCCCGGTACCAAAAAAAAAAAAAAAAAAAAAAAAAAAAAAAAAAAAAAAAAAAAAAAAAAAAAAAAAAAAAAAAAAAAAAGCCAATCTGGCTTTAAAAAAAAAAAAATGGACAATGTCATTTTTTAAAAGTTTTTTTAAATCAAAGGACCTATCCAGATTAAATGAGACATAATAACTAAGTAAAATGTATGTTCTTTGACCCCCCCAAAAATTTAATAGCTTTACGGGACATTACTGGAGCAACATATTAGGTCAAATCATATCACTACTAAATCTCTCAGGTATGATAATAGTATAGCCATTTCTCAGGAAAACATCCTGTCTCCAGAAATTCATGCTGACCCATTCCCAGGCGAGGTGTTTAGGTACCTGCAACTTACTTTCAAAGGACAGGTAGTAGGTGGGTAGATAGACAGGGAAAGCAACACTGCAAAATGTTAACGACCGGCAAATCTGGGTCTCCAGGTAAAGGGCGTGGTGGGCCCTTGCTGTGCTACAGGGTGTAACAAAGTAAGAAATGAGGCCGAAGAAGTGCAGGGAGGTGCTTCAGAGAGAGCTGCACCAGGGTGGCCCATGAGTTTGCCCTAGGCTGGGTGCTAGAGTCACGCAGTCAGGCAGGCACAGCCCTGGAACGGCTCACCACCAAAAGAGGGCCAGACCCCGAGAAGCAGACTCCCCTGGGAGCAAAGCCCAAGGGGAGCCGGGACTAACAAAACAGCCAACCCAAAGGACACCAGCAGGACAGTTCTCTGCCGGGGCAGGGACCTGGACCCCTCCCCACCTCTGCCAGCTGTGGCAGGGAGCTAGGTCTGGGCCCAGGCCACCCCACCCCCCTAAACATCCCTTGATGGGCGACAGCCTGAGTGTATCCACCCATTTGAGGAGCGTTCGAGGAGCCAGGCTAAATATGGAGCCCCAGACATAAGATGCCGCTCAAAACAGATTTTCCTGGAAAAGACCATCTGGCAGTGGAAGTCTATAGCATTGTCTGTCGCGGGAGGCAGCACAGATCTCCTGCAAGCTAATGTCCGAAATGGGAATGCTTTCATCCCACCCGCTAGGAGACCCCAGATTACTGCCCCAGTCACCCACAGCCCACAGAAAGACCTGCAGGCCCACCTCCCTCCTAAGCTGAATCTCCAGAGAGGAGGATGAGGTTAGGCATGCAGGTCTGAACATCAGAAAGTTCCCCCCTGGCACCAACCCCACCTCTGTCACTAACCCAGTGACTGTGAGCAGGTAACTTCTCCCTGAGCTCCAGCACCCTCTCCACAAAGCGGAAGGAACAGCAGCACCTCCATCTGAAGGCCATGAGAGCTACCTAGCACAGTGGTGCTGCTCAGTAGATGGAAGGGGGAGGTGACACCCCCGCCCCTCTCTCAGTCCTGCCTCTTTCCAGCTCACTTTCCCTCCTCCCCTCAGGAAAGACCTGGAGGAACTATGGGTCAGGACCTCTGGAGCACCATGCACCCCACAACTAGGACAAGCAGCAAGAAGGGGGCCTCTCAGCCTGGCACAGGGCAACCCTGGGGCTTTGGAGTACAAATAGCATGAACACTGAGGTTTCAACCCTGCCAGGGTGGTGGAGGCCTTTCAAGGGCACCTTTTTACCTTTCCACCTTTAGCTGGGGTTACCACCTACTCACCTCAACACAGGGAGCCCTCCGAGGGTTCTGGCCCGCACCTTGCGGGCTGCCATGCTCCACCAGGACAGAATGCTGCTGACACCTCACCCGAAGTCACTGTCTCTGACATAGAGCAGGAGAAAGGGGCTTTGGGAGCACAGACGTCTCCCCTACAGCTATGCGGTGGGCAGCAAGAGGGCTGCTGGCCATGTCACTGACTCACAGAGCCCAGGTCACAGAACTCACAACTTCCCTGGGAGACTGGGTTCCAACCTCCCCGGAGAGGAAGTGGAAGGACTGCACCTGCCCAGGGGAGGGGTCAGCCTTGGAAGTGCACCTCACACCCTGTCCTGTAAGCTGCCCGCATGGTGCACTAAACAGCTCTTGTCACCAGGGTCCGGAAGGAGCTGGGAACCCAGGGAATCCAAACACCTCCCCCCAGGCCCAAGCTCCCCCTCTGTGCCAGCCGAACCCTGGACCCTCCTCCTGGTCCTGAGCCTGCCTGGAGTCCTGAGCCCTCCTCCATTGTGACTGCTACGTGTGGCCCCAGTTCTCTTCCCGCACCCACAAGATGGTCCCAAGACAAAGGGGTGGACATGGGATAGTGCCCCCAGGCCTGTGCAGAAACAATGCCTCCAGTTCTCATTCCAGAGAGCCCTCAGATTCTCCAGGGGCATCAGGAGTCTGGTTACCTCCTCTTAGGAAGGGAGGACTGGTTGCAGTGGGCCCCACATCTGGACTTCCAGACCCACCCAGTCCCAGGCTGCCCCAAGGCCCCCTCCCTCTCTGCTGCCGCCACAGCCATTATTTGTCTCTGCTCCTTGCCCGGTGCCTGCCACGCCCCCACGCTACCCCCTGCTCTAGCGGTGGAGTCCGCCTGCCCGGGAGGCCTGGCCACCAAGCCCGGCTGTCAAAGTTGGGAAACTGGAAACAGAAATAAATCCTCAAAGCTGCTCAGTTGTGAAGGTGGCTGCTGGCAAGGCCCCGGCACCCAACACCCGGAGAGCACGGGCCACCACACAGCCACTGGCACCCCATCAGCACACACATTCACACTCAGGCTATACAAAAGGGGGAGGGGATCCGAGGCAGAGCCCAGGAGACAATTGGGCTGGCCAGCCCTGACCCTCCCTGCATGGGCTGGGGCTCTTTGCAGCGCCCCCACTCCCTGGCCCAGACCCGGCCATCTCGGGCTTCCTCTCTCGGCCCCATCTCCATGACAACCGTATCCTTCGGATGCTCCAGCCACCGCGGAATTGATCTCAAAATGTAGCTTTGTTAGCAGACCCCAGCGGGCACAGAGGGCGGAGGGCGGCTCCCCGCCACCCAGCATGAGTCCCTCAGCCCACACCGGGGACCCCTCCCCGTCCCCTGCTCTGTCTCGGGACGGGAGGGGCGGGGTCCCGGAGCGCACCGGCCCTGGGGACCCGGCGGCCCGCGCCCCACTCACCGCTCCCAGTCCCCGCCGCTGGGTCCAGCTTCTCACGGCGGGGCCATGCGGAGGCCGCCTCTGGACCGGCCGTCCCGCCCCGCCGCCGCCTGTCCCGGCCCGGCCGCTCTGTCCCTTCAGGTGGCCGAGCCGCGGCCGTGGAGAGGCTGAGCAGGATGGGGGGCGGACGGCGGGAGAGAGGGCGGGAGGGAGCCCGGCAGGGAGGGAGGGGCGAGCAGAGCAGGAGGGGAGGAGCGTGGAGGCGGCGAAGGCGGGACTTCGGCGCGAGGAGGGGCGCAGCGGCCGCCCCGCAGGTCCGAGCGGCGCCTGGGCCCCCGGTGCTCCACCTCGGACCCCGTCCGCCGGGGAAACGCCGGCCCTGTCCTTCCCCGCCCCGAGCGGGGCCCTTTAAGAAAGTGGGGGAGGGACACACCAAGAGGCCCCGCCCCTTCCCGGCCCCGCCCGCGAACCCCGGGAGACCCACCCACCGCTCCCCAGCCCCTGCCCCTCAGCCCCCAGCCGGGACGGCCCAGCCCCCGCCAGGTGAAGGGTGCGGACCCCGGTCCTCCTCCGCGGTCCTTGGGTCATCTGACTCCTGCCCTCCAGCCCCCCAACACACACACCACAAAATACACTGCTACCCTAGACTTGAGGGCAGGGCAGATGTGGGAGCACCGGGACGAGGCGGGGTCTCTGAAAGAACAAGACTAAAGCTGGGACACCCGGAGGAACAGCCAGACCTTGGTATGGCGTGACCCTGGGACGCAGGGACCAGGTTGAACCGGGCAGAAGGGAAGAAAGCGACCCTGGGCCAAGTGGGAGGTGGGAGGTGAGCAGTGGGTCCAACCAAGGATGCCACGTCGCAGCGCCAGGCCCGGCAAGGCCACCCTAGGTAAATAAGGACAGCGAGGAAGACAGCGCGGGGCTGGGGCGGCCCCTCCCCCAGGGCTGGTCTTGACCTTGACGCCCTCCCCTGGTCCGGGGCTCCAACTTGAAGAGGCGGGACCACACTGTACTTGGGCTAGACACTCGGAAGAACTTCCTGGCTGTGAGCACCTTGCGAAACAAGATCCCACCTCCCAGGGAGGCAGACCTTGCCCTCAGCCATAGGACCTAAGGATGAGGGGGGACCCCCAGCGCCGGAGAGCAGGGAAATCAGGTTAGTCAGGTGCTGCCACAGAAGCTGCTTTCCACTTCTCTCCTTCCACTCCAGACCCAGCCCTGCCACCTCCTCACCTCCTGACCTCACCTCCTGACCTCCTGACCTCCTGACCTCACCTCCTGACGCTGGCAAACGTTTCATCCTCTGCCTGCTGGGGTCTTGATTCTGCTGTACTCAGTGAATTCCTGCCCACCCCTCAAATCCTCCTTAAATGCTCCTTCTTCCATGAAGCTTTCTCTGATCTGCTTCTCACACATACACACACACACACACACACACACACACACACACACACACACACACACACACGGGGATTCTCTTTTAGCAAACAGAGCAAGATTTGCTGGCCTATGAAGGACTTGGGACCTATTCAGGGTGGCATCTGAGCTGTGATTGGTCTCTCAGCCTCAAGCTGGGCTATAGCTGGAGCTGGGGTTTCATCAACTATGGGGCAATCTCTGCTAATAATTGTGCACCAATTATGCCAGCATCCACACTGAGTGCTTTTCATGTGCCACATTTGATCCTCAAAACAACCCTACAGCCAGGTGTGGCAGCGCACACCGCAATCCCAGCACTCAGGAGGCTGAGGCAGGAGGATTGCCATCAGTTCAAGGCCAGCCTGGGCTACACAGTGAGACCCTGTCTCAAAAAAGCAAAACAAAACCAAAAAATCAAATAGATTCTGGGTTAAAAAAAATATTTACCGAAGACATTAGAAAAACAATCCTACAGCCAACTTTACAAATGAAAAATTAGGCTCACCCACTCTGAGCCCATGGAGAGCAGGGCAGTCGAGAAAGCACACAGAGCACAGCCCTTGTTGCCCAGAAAACCCAACATTCAGGAGCCCGGGAGCAAAGGGACCACTCCCCCTTGGGCCCAGGACCTGCGGGAAAGGTACAGAGGGGCATGGCTTCCCTGCTGCCCACAGATAGGCACCAGGAACCAGGGGCACCAGGCAGGGGCTCTTAGGGAGGCAGAGGAAACAGACTTCCATTCTACGTGCCTCACCTGGGCACCCACACCCCAGCTCACAGCTGGACACATCTGGATTTCCATTTGCTCACCTGCCCCAAGAGGATGGTAACAGGCACTGTGCCATGGGGCTGGGGTGGGCACAAAAGGAGCTGATGTGTTCAGTGCCACCCACACAAGACCTGGCACACAGGGGCAACCACGGGCCATGGGGATTTACTCAGTGAGTGGGCTGCTTACATCTAGCCCACCTGATGAGCTCTGAGCCCGAATCCCAGGGGTTACTGGAATGGGAAGTGGGTGGAATGGAGGGAGGAAAGACACTGGCTCTTCTTCAAATCTGGCTGCCAGGCGTGGTGGCGCACATCTGTAATCCCAGCACACGGGAGGCTGAGGCAGGAGGATCGTCGTGAGTTTGAGACCAGCCTGGGCTACAAAGTGTGCTCAAGGCCAGCCTGGACTGCATAGCAGAACCCTGTCTCAAAAACACACACACAAAAAAAAAAAAAAAAAAAAAGCTAGGCCAATCATTAAGACAGGAATAACTACAGTGGAATCTGTAAAAGCTCAACAAGTCTCTAAATTCCTCCTCTCCATCTTCTCACAGCTAAACTAGAAGGATTTATACAACAAGAACTATCAGACTTAGAGATGACCTCCATCAATAGAGGGGCCTAAGAGCCAGCTGGGCAAAATCACCACTCCAGTCCCTAAGAGCAGCTTCTGGACACGGCTCTTTCCTCAGCCTGCCTCTCCACCCTAGCGCTCATGCTTTGAGTACACAGGCCTTCACTTCTTGGGAAATTTGTTTGTTCTTGCCTAGAAGCTGCCAAACTCCAAGTGATCATGCAGATGGAACCAAAGACAAATGTGCCACATTCCTTTTCCGGGATCCAGCAGATAACCTTGTGAGGAGCTCATAACTGCTAAACTACAACATGACTTCTGTCTGAGGCCCATTGGGTTAGCTCTCCGGAGAAGGCCCCACTGCGGTTCCCCTACACCAACTCTCCTCAGCTCGAAGTAGCTAGATGGAAGCTACACCTTTCTCCCCTAACCGCAGTTAGGGATACCTCTTCAGACAGAATATTATAGATGGCTAAGTGAGGTAGAAATACAGTAGGCAGCCGGACAGGGCTGGGCCCGAGGGAGTCAGTGCAGGAGATGAGAATGCATCAGGACTGTGGCTGGAGGCACATCTGAAGATTGAAGTCACAATGGCTGGTTCTGCATACTTCCCTAAGGGATGAATGGAGGCTGGGCGTTATTGGTGTCACCCTTTTGAGATTTCCCATTATCTCTCTGGACGTGGGACATCCTCTCCCACCTACTAAGGCCACTAAGACTAAAAACAAGACTAAGACTCTAGATTATCACAAGGTTAATGACATCACCCATGTACCTTTGCTACCATTGGTCAATATTATCTAAGCGACTCTATCGCAGTCTTATAGGTTGATCATAATTTTGACCCACATTGTACCCATCTCATGGTTTCACTCTATAAAACTTCCTTTGAGAGATGGGCTCCTTAGCAACCCATTCGGGACCGCTCCTATCACTCAGGAGCTATTCCTGTTCCCCATCCCCCCATTCCTTTTCCCCATTTAATAAATTTTCCTACTCTTAAAAACAAAATCTGGGCCAGGCTGGTGCCAGAACAGAGGCCCTGGTTGGAGATGCCCCTGTCCCTCACAGCCCTGTGTGCCTGTCCCAAGCAGGTGCTGGGCCCCAGCCCTGCCTCTGCTTTGCCCGCCCTGTGGCTGTGAGCAGCTGTGCCGCACCCTGGCCTCACTGCCCTTCTCATCTTGTGGACCCAGCTCAGAGGGTGGGGGCCTTGGGTACCCTGGGTGCAGAAGCAGGGAGCATGCCCATGGCTCCTCACAGCTACCCTCACCCCTTGAAAGAGAGCAGGCTGAGTGTCCCCTACCCAGGAGCCAAAGCCCCGTGTCCCCAACCATCCAGGGAAAGGAGCCAGCAGCTCAGCTGCCTCCTCGTCCCCTCCCACCTGCTCACCTTCGGGGCCTCAGAAGGCAGGTGCTGGAAGCAGGACCAAAGACCCCACACACACCCGCTACGGGCACACACTGACGGGTCTCCCCACATTGCGAACTGCCTGGCCCAGGGTTCCAGGGGGCCCAGCTGCACTGGGAGTGGTCAGCACCCCGAGCAAGAGCAGGGGCACAGCTCCCAGCCTGCCTCGGCCTCTTCCACCATGGGGCCCTGCCAGACTCCGCCTGCCAGCCCAGGCCCCCTCCACTGGAGGAGCTCATCTTGGCTCGGATGCCCCTAGAATCCTGCCATCTGGGGGGGGGGGACAAGGAAGGGCACCTGGGTGAGGAGTCCCTGGGCTCCAGCCCACCCCGCACCAGCACCTTCCCTGTGCACAGTCCTCTCCCGATGTTCTACGGCCCCCCGGACCCCCAGCCATTTCCAGTGCCCCTTGCCAGGGCGCCTTTCCTGACCGGCCCTCCCCTGGCCAGTTCCAGCGACCCTGCAGTCACTCACCATCTCTCCTTCCCCACTATGGCAAAAAGCTGCTTGAAAAAGTTGTCCATGCTCACTGTCTCCAGTTCCTCTCCCAACTCCTCTCTCCAGGGAGCTCCAGTCTACCCCGTACTCCCCTGCCCGCACACCCCACCCACATCACTAATCAAAATCACTAGCACAGCTGCTGAGTACAGATGCCCAGGCTGGGCACTGCGCAAAGCCGCCTGGGCTGCACAGAGGGTGGAAAGGAAGCTGAACCCCAGCCTGATTCCTGTCACCATGCTGTGTGCCCCGGTGCAAGGCTGCATCTGCCAGGGGAGGGACATCTTTCTCTTTACACCAAGGTGTTTGTCTCTGTGCCCCTGCACAGCCAGGGCCCCCTGGAACAGCCACGCTGAGGTGTGTACAAATGTGCACAAAGTGCTAGATGTCGTGGTCCTCAGTGGCTGCCCCACCACCAACCCCGAAGCCAACTCTCAGAGCTCTGCTTAGCTCTGGGGCAGCCCTCACCGCAGGGGCTGGCCCTCCTCAGAATACTCCCTGGTGACTTGGCGACTTCCCTTGGCCCGGCTGGGCCTCTCCTTTTCCACCCCACCCCCAACACTCACATGCCCACATCCTGTCTCCTCCACTCCCCGCTCTGTGGGATCCCAGCCTGGCTCCAAAGCCCTGGTGGACCCAGCAGCCTCCCGAGCTCAGACCCAGAGCCCAAGGGCTGACAGGGCCCTGACCCTCTCTCTCCTTCCGCAGTAAGTGTGGGTTCCACCTCCCATCAGCCCGGGAGTCACCCTGGCCTCCCTGTCCCATCCCCACATCCAGTCCCCGGGCGGCTCCGCCGCCCCCTCCTTGCTCAAGCCGCCTGGCTACCGCTGTCACTGCCAAGTGGTCCTCTGCTTCCACCAGCCCCACTCTCCGCCAAGGCCTGCACAGCACCAGGGACCCTGTGAGATGGAACTGGATCACTCAGAATCCTGCAATGCGCCCTGTGTGGCTTGGGTCACAAACCAAATCTTCAAATTGGCCTTTAAGTCCTATACAGTCTGGTCCCAACTCCTCCCAACCCCACTCCTCTGCAGCCAGTCTGACATCCTGCTCCTCACACCCTAGGCACACTCCGGCCACAGGACCTTTCCACCAGCGCAGCCTCCTCTGCCTGAAGCCCTCCTGCCCCAAGTATCTACATGGCCTGCCCCCGACCTCCTCCAGCTCTCTGCACAGTGTCATCTTCCCTGACTACTCCCCCACCAAGTACCACTGCCCCACCCTCATCTCCCATTTTCCTGCTTTTTCCTCAAAAGAGTGTGTGAGGCCCAGCATGGGGGCACACACCTGTAATCCCAGCGCTCAGGAGGCTGAGGCAGGAAGATCCCCATGTGTTCAAGGCCAGCCTGGACTACATAGTGAGTCCAAGGCCAGCTTGGACTACAGAGCAGAGACCCTGTCTCACAACGACAACAAAAAAGAGTATATGTGCGTGGGGGTTTTTTTCCTAGTAATGGAGATTGAACTAAGAGATTTCACACTGAGCTACATGGCCTTTTTTTTATCTTTTTGAAACAGGGTCTCACTAAGTCGCTAAACTGCCCAGGCTGGACTTGCCCTTGCAGTCCTCCTGCCTCGCCTACCAGAGTGTCTGGGTTGTAGGGGGACAACACCACGCTGGGCCAGAACACGTGTTGATATATTACCATTTCCTTGCTTTTGCGCGTTATCTGACTCCCCGCCAGGCCACCATCGCCAGGCACGAGTCCCGTGAGGTACAGCCGTTGTTCTTCCGCTTCTGTATCCCTCACAGGCTGGACCGGGCCTGGAAAGAGCAGGCCGACCCCATCAGCAGATAAGAAGGCCGATAGTGTGAGTATTACAGACAGCTTTGAAACAAACACACTGGCATGTGGCCAGGGGGCTGGGGGCCATGCAGCAGGTGACCAGTAGGCCGAGGGCAGGGTCCCCATCACCGCGGGTCACGGAGGACCCTTCCCTCCCCAGAGCAGCCCTAAGCCAAGGCCAGTCCAACAGGAACCCAAGGGGGATGAACCAAAGAAAGACGCACGGTCGGGGACAGACCCCTGCGGGCCAGGTGACTGGCAGGACCACAAGAGGGCGCCCATGCAGTCGGAGCCACAGAGGCCAGGTGAGTCCTTGGGGCCCGGGTGTCCCCTGTGAACCGGTACACTACCTAGGAGCCCTGCGTCAGCGGCAGCGGGAGGAGAAGCAGCCGTTCGCACCGGACAGCTCCCGGCGTGAGAGCCAGCGAGGAGCGGCTGCCCGGCCGCCCAGTCCCCATCCCAGGCCCTGTCCCCGGTCCCCGTCCCGTCCCGTCCCTGGAGGACAGCGAGGCCAGGCCCGGCGGAGACGGCCCCGCCCCCGCAAGCACGCGGCCAGCCCTGCTCCGGCTGGGGACAAAGCCCCGCGGGGAGTGCCAGGGACTGGCAGTGCCGAGAGCCAGCAGGCCGCCGGCCCGGGCCCAGCAGCGCGAGCCCAGAACTTCATCTGAGGGCCTTTGTGGGCCCCGGGAGCCTGTCCAGGGCGCCGGGGCGGCCAGGGTGCTTTCTGGGGTCCAGCTGGCCGCACAAGCCCGGGCGATGGGGGCTGGAGGGCCCGGGACCCTGCTCTCACGGCCGGGCCCTGGGCAGTGCGGCCACGCTGCCCGGAAATCTGCGCTGCTGGACGGAGCGGCCGGGGAGGACGGCGCCGAGCGGGCTGAGGCTGCGTTAGGGTCGGGCGGCCCTCTTCCCGCTGCAGGCGCCACAGGGCGCCCGGCCGGAGGGGAGGAGGGGACCGCAGGCTTTGTCCGAGGCGCAGCGCC